AGGGAGAAGGGAGGGGGCGACAGGCGGTATCGAACAGAATTTTCTACAGTAAAGCAACTACCATCTGAGTCCCTTGGGGGTCTTCCGCCTCTCTCCCCCTTGGATCTGCCAATGATCCAAATGGCCTTTTCTGCCGCGCAAGCTGTCCGAGGAGAGAGGGGATGTAGTGACGAACGAAGAAGGTGAAGTGAAAAACCGCCCTCTCTCCGCCCAGGAGACCGCCCTGGATCCGCCTATGTGTCCAACAGCAGTGTTTATTAACTGCTTCTAAATCTTAGCTTTAGAAAAACACAAAAGGAAATAAATTAGGCATAATCCATTGCTGACAAAGTGTTAAAACAGAAAAACAATAAGCCACCAAGAGGAATTACGTATAAAATGAATAAATTAATAAAAGTTTACTTTTCAGAGAAAATGGAAGGAGAAAATAGCTCATGTGAATAGAACATGGATGCTACAAATGGCTCGCAAATCTCGAAGAGGAGAGCAGGGTTAGGGAAGAACAAGGCTGTAGAATTAGGTGATCGGCAGGAGGACAGAGGCAGAAGTGAGGAAGAGATGAGAAGGACGAAGCAGGCTGAACGTTCTCGTGGAAAAAAGACTTTCCCAAAAAAACATACCATGTCCGAGTTCGGTTTGCGCATATGTACCAACAATGCCTCTGGTTACAGCCAGTGGCAACCAGTAGTCCAGCTGATCGTCGTCTGTCTGTCCTTGAAGAGTTGGAATAAACATTGCGTAGTGCAATGACATGGCATGGAAGTCACGTCCCATTACCAAACTATAAATATTTTTATAAAAAATGACACAAAAACCGAGAAAGCCTACAGTCTGCAGAGCTACTGTTTTATGAAAGCACATCTTTACGTTGTGAATGCACTGCTAGTAATTTTCCAGAGCTGCTGTAACCGGAAATCCCAGTGATCAACCTGCTAATGATGACAAAAACTTCTGGGGGTAACCCTGGCATAAATTCCTGTATTCACCCTGTCTATGAACGACTAAAAAAAAACTTCTGTTGGTGACCTAGGCATCCATTTTCAAGCAGTTTTTCGGCTTTCCTCATTTGGCAAAGATTTATAGATATATCGCATTCTAACCCCCGTCGCTCATGTGGTCGTCCATTTCGACTAATCAACTATCCTCTCGAATTTCTCAAGAATATTTTTCAATAGAACTATATACTTTGACGAGTGGAAAGCTGCAGAACTGCGCCAATAAAATCACTGGCATGAGATCTCTACATCGGCTGGAAGCGCGTTATTGGTTTCCTTGGTACATTATGTTCATTAGTTTAAAAATGAAAAATTAAACCTTCACCAAGTTTATATGAAAAAGGAAGGCACTGGAAATGGCCCCAGTGGTACCATATATTAACAGAAATATCTGCTATCAACAGCTCCCTCGCCAGATGATTACTTACAAATCTGAGGACCCTCGATTCTAAGCTTGAAACCCGCTCTACTCGTCATCAGCTCATGCCTGCCAGCTAACTTAAATTAAACCTACAAATTTATCTTGTTTCTAATGCAGTTTTGCTAATTTTTTTTCAAAAAATTACCGAAAATTTGAATGGTTTTTTTAGCAAAGAGGTAATGCGCCAAATCGGCCTCTCGGAGGCACCTCTAGTGCTTCAGGTATTTTTGAATATGAGGATTAAAATACTAACTAATGTAGGTCAGATGAATTTTCTGTTGCCAAATGAAAAAACCACTTACCTTTGATAAAGCATTCCCTCCTCAAAAAAATCTGATTGATCAATCGCTAGCGCCGACTTGTCTGTCATAGCAACAACCTAAAAAAATTTTTGTGGAAGCCTTTTAAATAAAATTCAAAATTCCTAAAAGTCTAGAGCCATTTTTAGTCACATAAAAATGTGGATCCGGAAATAGATTTCTCTGGGCATTTGTGATGACTGCTGGAGGGAGAAGAGACAGCTGCTAAGCAAGCTGAAATGATACAAAGACGAGGAAGAAAATAAAAATATCTAGCAAGATATCTTTACGGGAAAACAAAAAAAAAAAACAAGAAATGATAAGCCCCAGACAATGTAAACTTGATCGAAACAATATTCATTCAGAATTCCAATAACTACACATCCAGTTCTGCAGAACGCCCCGAACTACCAATACTTGTACTAAAACGGAGCCACACATCGACCCTACCAGCCTCAGGTGTTACGAGATTTCCAAAAAAAAAGAAATTTTATCTTACCAACGACAAATTGAAACCCTTTATGTTTTTCCCTCCCTTTCCCTTCCTCAAAACGTTCTTGCCCAATTTAAAAGGCAATATTGCAGCAGGTCTTTTCTGGAAGTAGCGGCTACTTTGATCAGAGCTCATCCGAAAAAATGACTATGCAACAATAGCTGTTCGAATGCTGTAAATTTTGCCTTGCTTGAGTAGATCTCATTTTTGCTTATGGGGCGAATTATTACAGTTTCTTTCTTTCATTTTCCAGCCCAGTGGGAAGGCACATTGATCTTTATGGCATTTAAGTCATTCGTAGCAACAACGCCGTGGAAGCGACCTGGACAAC